ATTATATAAAAAATAATCTTACCTGCCCTGTTTTGTGAATTAGATGTGCCTAATACTATGAAAGTAAATTAATGTGTTGACTAGATCTAGTTCTGTCTAGTGTCTGACAAAATGTGCTGAAGTGGTGAATCGTACGGTTAGGAAGTAGTTCATAAACGATACATTTATCTCCTCGATACTTGTGAGGTTGAGAAAGAGGGATGGGATAGGGGTCGGCTCGGGAAAAAACTTGAAAGGGACAACAAAAAGCCTTGATCTATGTACGCCAGTATCGCCCATTGTAAAACTTACTCAGGGGAGATAATTTGAAGTATAGGCCTTAAAAGTTTACTATTATTTCTTGTAAAATCAAAAACAAGTAAACGTATATAAAACTGAAGTTTCTAGTATTATATATTTTTTTAAATTATTTGTACGATACAAGATAGTACAGGATACAAATTCAACCACTATCACAAACACATATTAACATTGAAAAATGTACAATAAGAACCGCGCATCATGAAAGTATTGAAAGCCCACTTCATATGTAGCGGCTTTTCGTGCTATGGACTTTGTTGTTTTTTTAAAAAGAATTTTGCTGGCGACAGCGTGTGTTTGATTGTAGGGAAATAGAACTCGGCCTTGACGATGGTTAAAAAATACAACTATAAATAACTGTTTTAAATATGTAAAGAAATTGTCGACAATTTTTTAACCCCCTTTTTGGTCCCCATCCCCTGCCCCATCCGCCACAGTATACTTTGGAGGATCGGTCAAACAGTTACGTGTCCTCTATTTAGCTATCAAAGGGAGGGGGGGGGAGGAACGAGTCAAAGAAGTCATTCAAAATTTGAAGAGTTGCCTATATTTTACACTGTAGTTTGTGTAATGGATTTTATCTTTTGCGGAAGAGCGTGGTATAGTGACTGTGAAATAAAGATAATCGCACCGCAGCTACAGTGTTTTTCTTTTACAAACCAAATATTAAGGCAAAAATTAAATTCAAAATTAAAAAATAAAATTTTGGTCAGCCGTGGGCCCCTAAACGGCCTTCCCCCCGCGCATTGCGGGGTCTGGCGGGACTGTAGTTCCGCCCCTGTTCATCAGGTAAATGAACAACTACTGACTAGTGTCTTTAACAAAAATGTGCAGAAGTGGTCAGTTTACAGTTCATAGACGGTTCGTTAATCTATGCATTACATCTTATTGTAAGAGTAAGGGTGTGGTGAGGCGTAGAAGTGAGGGGTAGGGGGGAGGGGGGGGGGGAGAGAGAGAGTTGGGAAGGGAAGGGGACAAGAAAGCGCCGATAAACATCTACATCAATAGTGCCGACTTTTTCCGATCGTCTAGAATACCAGGATAGTCGCCTCGCCGCAACATTTCCCCAGCCCGATTTCAAAGCGTACCGGCACAGTCAAATTTCAGATGCTTCGTCTTTGAAGTTGTCTATATGTCTGGCGGTCTCTCGAGCTATAGTCAGTGCATTTTTCTCAAAGACGTTTGCCGACTATCGTGTTTGTTTGTAACTGTAGAAGAAAGATAACTCGACCTCCACCTAATTTTTTTTATTTTTTTTATTTTTTTTAAATAATTTAGCCAAGATTTTTGGGCCCCCAATTGGTCTGGGCCCCCCCCGCATTGCGGGGTCTGGCGGCACTGTAGTTCCGCCCCTGGTGGAGTGTAGGGTCGGGGTTAGGGGAAAGGGGGGCCAGTGGCGTAGCGAGGTCGGGTGTCACCCGATGCGGCACTTAATGATGTCACCCCCCCAGAGGCATAGAGACCCTTCCCAGGGACAAACTTTCAAATTTTCGATTTGCACCCCCCCCCCCCTCAAACTTTCGATTTGCACCCCCCCCCTCGAGTTTTCGATTTGCACCCCCCCCCAAACTTTCGATTTGCACCCCCCCCCCCCTCAAGTTTTCGATTTGCACCCCCCCCCCCCCCTCAAGTTTTCGATTTGCACCCCCCCCCCCCCCCTCAAACTTTCGATTTGCACCCCCCTCGAGTTTTTCTCTATATATTTTGCTATTTTTTGCCTTGGTGTCACCCCCCTAAATGGTGTCACCCTGTGCGGTCCCCCCCCCCGCCCCCCCCCCCTCGCTACGCCCCTGGGGGGGGGGGGCTAGTGTTTTAAAGCAAATATTTTCAGTGGCAGCATTGGTACTGTCGAATTCACAAATTATGAATTACTGAAAAGTAGAAAATAAAACAACTAAATAGCGGCGTATGATACGCTGCGGGTCGGCTCGTATAGATCTAATTCATTCATGGTGGACTTGTTTTTTCCCCCAGATAAATTTATCCCAGTCCGTTTTATTGACTGGTCTTCAAGTTCAAGGTGAGCCGACAAGTTCCGGTCGTGTAACGGAGTTTGTGCTGCAGACGTCGTACGACTGCGAAACATACAAATCACAGGTTAGCCGTTAGAAATTCATGAGAGTATGTATATTATTTTTATAGGGCGTGGTCGAGTCGGTAAAGCTAATCCGAAAAGTATCGAGTTCGAGCTCTCGGGCAGATGAGGCTCGACAGCTGAGGATAGCAATTTTTTTTTGGAGGGACAACTCCAAAATCAAACAACTGATGCATGCATTTTTTTTTAGTTTCTTCTTGGTAGGACAAAGACTATGACTATGGTAGCAAATCCAAAACGAAAAGCAGGCTGGAATGGAGTCATATGGTATGGGGTCATCCATAAATGACGTCACGCTTTTTTGGGACAATTTTTACCTCCCCCCTCCCCTCCGTCAAAGGTAAAAAAAAAGCCAGACACCCCCCCCCTAAATTCTAAAATGACGTCGCACCTCAGCCTACAACCCCTTCCCCCTCAAAATTGCAGTTGAATTTTTCTTAAAATACGATATTTTTCCAAAATCGTGTCTGAACTCTTTCATTCAACATAGAGTATTTGAATCAATTCCTACTATAATTTATTAAAACAGTTTTCTAAAACGCGAAAATACGGCTAAAATTCGTTTTTTAACATTGCTGTTTTATGATGTAAAAGTGTGATGTCGCACTATCTGAACGCCCCCCCCCCCCCTCCTCATCACACACCGTCTCAAAAGTATGGACCCCCCTCCCCCTACAAGTGTGACGTCATTTATGGACAACCCCTATCTATTGCACGTAACAACAAGTTGACATGTATACTTAATTGTGTTGGGAGGAATCTCTTCCAACACTAAAATTAAAAATGTATATAGATTCTAATTATGTGTGTAGGCATGGCTTACGTTGTCACATAATCTCACACCAACAAACAGCATTGTGTGTCCACTTTTTTATTCCTATATTGTGTGGGCGTTTAAAAGTAAAGTAGAAAAAAAAATCAAGACTCTAGAATTCTAGTACTAGATTTAGCTAGAATCTAGATCAGTGGTTTTCAACCTGGGCTCGATCTAACCCCAGGGGTTCTAGATCTATGTGACTCAGGGGTTCAGCGGTGATAAGACACACCCGACTTACATGATTCATGTATGGGTTTTGTCAGTGTGGATGATAGATTAGAACTCTTAAGAAGGGTTTATTAAGTGTGCGTATGAAACTGGTGGTTCGGTATCACCAATAAAGAACCACTGATCCAGTGTTTCTTCCAGACTTTTTTCTCCGGGGGGCACGTGAAATTTTCGGGGGGGGGGGGGGCGGTTAATTTTCTTCGGGGGGGGCCGAAGAGATGCCTGGAAGAAACTCTGCACTGATCTAAATCTACAATCTACTAGATAGGTCTAGCTAGATCTTCATTTCGAACAGACAGGATAAAACATCTATTAATAACAACTATAACTCTGATTATTGATTAAAGGCAGATCTCTACTATCTTTATTTTCAAGTCTCTAGAGCAAAAGATTTTACTGTGTGTAGGGCCTACTGAATTTAATACAAAACATTGTAGAGCAGGTTGTGAGTGTGTGTTAAAAAAATTGCTGTAACTTGTGGTTCAGAAGGCTTATAAGAGGCGAACTTAATGGGAGAGCAGGAGCAGTTGAGGTGTAATCAGTGAACAACATCTGTATGAATTCATCCTCAGAACTACAGCATAGAATACGTGAACCCTGACCTGCCTGAAACTGTTCTGTTGAACAATGTGGAGTTTGTTTCCTGTCTAAAGGTAGTCCCTACAGCTTTCAAAGGGAGGTTACCAGCATTGAGGCTTGAGCTTCTAGGCTGTGGTGAGTTTCTTTCCCTGATGCAGAAGAAAAAATATTTAGCATAACGTCCTGTAATCAGTAAAAAAACAGAATTTAGAACATTAAAAAGGAAATAAAAATTACATCAAACACAAAAAAATCCAAAAAAAAAACACCTATTTAAATGAACAGTTATGATGCAAAAATAAATATAAGCTTGTTTTTTTAAAAAAAAATTCTGCCCAAATATTTATATGAATCAAATAGTAATAGGAAACCCAGAAAATTAAGTCCAGGGCACAATCAATATAAATACTAAAGTACACCAAAAACATAACGTGATAGAATATTTTGACGGAAAACAAGTTTTCATTTACTTTTTTTAAAAAAGCATTCATTCAAATGCATCGATCACTTGTAATTATTTTACAATTACAAAATATCTCAGACATTAATTTCTCTGCTCTATTTTCTCAACATTCACACACATGAAAAAAAAAATTTTGTCCTGTCACCTTTTGTGAAAAATTCTCCCCACTGTGTTGTTACAGCTGTAACAGCGGAGGAAAGCTGCCAGCGCTCAGTGCCGCCCCCAGCAGAAGAAAGTTTGAATGCAGGGGTCAGACAGCTGGTCTTTGACCAGGAAATTATTCTAGCATGGATGAAAGTGGAGCTCCTGGTGCACTTCTCCGTCCCCAGGGGTGGTGTCACCATCATGTACAGTACCAGCTGCAGAAGGTGGAAGTACTATGAGTACATCCACACCAGGACGGTAGGTCATGAGCCTCTGTAGCACAACGAGGGGGGAGGTGCTGATCACAATGTGTGGCGCCATTTTGATGACCACACCTAGGCAAAAAATTACAAAATAGAGAAAGAAAAATGTTTTTTTTTTCAATGCAGTTAATGATTAATTAGAACGAGCCGGCCCGCGGCATAACATACGCCGCTATTTAGTTGTTTCTAATTTTCAATAATTCATAATTTGTGAATTCGACAGTACCAACGTTGACACTGAAAATATTTCTTTAAAACACTTTAAGTAGCTCGTTAAGGACCATAACCCCCCCCCTTCCTTCCCTCCCCCCTCCTCCCCCCCCCTACATTTAAAATCGTTGGCTCTGCTTGTAAACATTTAGAGTGAACACAGCTCACTAAAACCATGTAGGGGTGGGGAGGTAGGGAGAGTGTTTGCAGCTTGTTTTCTAACGGCTCGAAGAAGAGAATTATATATATAGATTGTATAGCCTTCTAAGTACTAATGTACCAATTGACAGCTCCGGAAAAGGAAGCTGGGCTGAAACCATGACTTTAACTTGTAAACTATAAAGAAAACAATGTTACACTTTTTTTTTTGGGGGGGGGGGGTGTGACTGACTCCGTGAGTTAGTGCACAGATGACAACCTACTTAGTGGGCATAACTCATAAGCCTACTATAAAGTACTAAGTATCAATATAATATTGATGAGTCATTAGCCATAAGCTAAATTTTCTGTTGGCAGTAGTCCTGTGGTGAATACTCATTCCCAAATATTTAGCCTAAACTATCTTTATATGTAGGTTTAGTAAACATTGATGAAATTAAGGAACTATTTCCATAATAATCACCCATTCAACTGTTTTTAACTGTTGGTAACTAGGTGAGTGTCATGTCAGTGGACAATAAATCAAACTGGCTGACAATTGAGCTCAAGAACCCAGTAAGGATCAAATGTCTGCGACTGTTTCCTGCAATGGGAGCAACCTTGGGGGAGGTCTATACTAATGGATGCAGTAAGTCACCGCATGGGTTTTTCTAGATATACTTGACATGCTGATTTCTTTGAGTTGTAAAATGTCGGTTAGCAGTAGAGAAAATGACTGTTTGTCCTAGAGTCTCTGGTTCATTTCCTGTGTTTGAATCAATGGGACATAATCGGTACACCCAAATCTGATGGTTATCTTGCTAGAATCTGGTCAAGAAAAAGCATTTGGGCACATGACAATCTGAACTTTATTTGTAATCAAGGAATTAGGCCTGAGAGTTTAATTTACTTTACTTTTAGTTTAAAGTAAAACATCTCACTTGATTTAGTTATAAGTAAAACTCAGACAACTAATTTGCTTTAAGTCTGATGTTGAACAGCTCATATGATTTTATTCCAGGTGGTAGCTGGTCATCCACACTACAGGAGGTGGAACCTGCAAGAAAAGATGAGAACTCTGGTAATGTTCATTTAAAGTTTGTTCCGTTAGTTTAGATTTCTTTTGTACCACTTTAGGTGACCTCCTCTATTTCACTCTAGCTTAGATCATTTTCTTTGTTTTTTATACAAATTTAGATTTCTAATTTAGACATCTAAGTATTCACCAGTTCTTTTACTTTGTCTATTTAGATAATTTTTTCTTTTAAAATTAAGATTTAAATAACAAATTTGAAACAAAACATTTAGATTTATTTTGTGTATTTTTCCATCCAAGATTTAATGTACCAGAGAGACTCTCCATGCCAACAGACAGCATCAGCTGATGGTAAGTATCAATCTGGGGTAGATCCACTTGTCAATAAAATAAACTATTAATTTAGCACATTCAATGAAAACTGTGAAGTATAATTTTAAGTATGAAACCATGTATAGTATGAATTTTTAAAAATAAATATTGTTAATATAAATTTACCCAAATTAGTAAATGTCAATAGGGCAAGTTGCCCTACAACTACAACCATACATTTTATATGGTGTTTTGTTAAAAAAAAAGTTGGTATATATTTGGTTCTTATTTTTCGTAATAGTATGCAAGTGTTATATTTTATTTGTGTAAGATACCATTAAGCCAACCTTATTCCTGCAAGCATCCACAAAATTTGACTTCCTTATGACCCACCCCCATGTTCCCACTTTGATGTCATAAATGGATGTCCAAAAAGGACTTGGCAAAGGTTCGGGCCTAAGATGATGGATCCATATGGAGTCAAGAGACTCTATAGAGTTAGAGTGGATATAGTGGGATATTGGTTTGTGTTGTGCAGTGCAGCCGACAGACCAGTTTTCCAAAAGGAAACTGGATCATCTAGTATAACTTATATGGATATAGGGAACTCGTGTCTACTTGCCCCTGTGACTTTTAGACCCACCTTGCCTAATTGAAGAGTTTTTAAAAAAATAATTTTTCACCCAGAGTTATCTGAATGTGGTATCCGTCCCCCTGCTGACCAGGGTAGAAGCAAACGTATTGTCAATGGTCACATGAACAGAGTCGGTGAATGGCCCTGGCTTGTGTCTCTGCACTACTTGCCGTAAGTCACATGACTAGTTAAGACAAAATTGCTTTGTCCTGGGTTAAGTTTTAAACCTTAATGGTTTGATCATTTGCATCAAGATTTCTTGACTGTTAAAATATTTAAGTCAAGATTGCTTAAATATTACCATACTACCTTCTATTGGAATGCTGATATTTTACTCAATCTTTTATTGTTATATATACACATTTTAAATGATCACAATTTTCTAAAACAACAAAATAATTAGTCTATTTATTTTAGTCTAAAATAAAAAACAAATTGTGACATTAGTAAAATTGCTATCAAATATGAAATAGGTTATTAATGGGCTTTAGTTTAAATAATAAATAAATAAAGTTCTGTGCTATTGAATAAAAATTGATGTAAATTTCATCAACAGGGAGTTTGAATTTACAAAAACTTCAGGGTTCAAACATGCATGTGGTGGATCTCTAATCGCACCAGGCTGGGTCTTGACTGCTGCCCACTGCTTCTCGTGAGTATCAGCTTAGCTACAAGATTTGAATTTTAAGTTTTTCGGAAAGAGTTGTCTAGATATCAAAGATTATGTATGACACCATGCAAACACAAGGGAAATAACCTATTTAAAAAATTTCAAGCATTTCACTTTTTCAGTTTCAAAATATTTAAGTTAAATTTTAAGAAAAATATAAGTCAAAATACCTCATAAAGGATAATACTTTTGGTATGAGCTGTCTAGATATTAAATACATGCTTATGATAATTATGTCCTATAAAGGGAAATAATCTTCAGGACATTCATTGTTCATGTTAGGTTATAAAGGGTCTTATTTTAGTTAAATGTGACCTGATAATGTGGCACAGACTATACTACTATGTATTTATTAGAAATAAAATTAAAACAATTCAATAGTTTTCCTCCATCTACCAACAAGTTTTCAAACAGAAATTTACTCACATAATTAGAGTTCTCAGCCAGTAAAATATGTGTTCGTATAAAGACAATTTAAAAAATAAACTGAATGAAAACAACAGCAAATATATTTCTTCTGATTTCAGAGAAGATTATATGAATGGCCTATCCAACGTCAGCAACTGGAGAATTTACTTCGGCCTACACGACCTCGCTGATGACCAGAACAAAAGAGTCCAGATGAGGTTGATTGAAAAAGTTTACATCTACCCAGTGTACAACAGTAAGTCAGCAAAGTACAGCTGTCATTTTTTTCAGCAAAGTACAGCTGTCATTTGTGTGTCAGTAAAGTACAGCTGTCATTTGTGTGTCAGCAAAGTACAGCTGTCATTTGTGTCAGTAAAGTACAGCTGTCATTTGTGTCAGTAAAGTACAGCTGTCATTTTTGTGTCAGTAAAGTAAAGCTGTCATTTGTGTGTCAGGAAAGTACAGCTGTCATTTGTGTGTCATTAAAGTACAGCTGTCATTTGTGTGTAGTACAGCTGTCATTTGTGTGTCAGTAAAGTACAGCTGTCATTTGTTTGTCAGTAAAGAACAGCTGTCATTTGTGTGTAGTACAGCTGTCATTTGTGTGTCAGGACAGTACAGCTGTCATTTGTGTGTCAGGAAAGTACAGCTGTCATTTTCAGTTAAGTACAGCTGTCATTTGTGTGTCAGTAAAGTACAGCTGTCATTTGTGTGTCAGTAAAGTACAGCTGTCATTTGTGTGTCAGTAAAGTATAGCTGTCATTTGTGTGTCATAATAGTATAGTTGTCATTTCTAATTTTTGAAAATATAGCTGTCATTTGTAAGTAGGCAAAGTATTTCTGCAACTCATTCAAGATGAATCATCATAACTTTAATATATTTCCTAACTTGTTGACCCTCAGTAACTGTGGAGCCTCTGCTTTGGGACCTTGCCCTTGTCAAGCTCAGCGAACCAGTCCAGTACACCAGGTTCATCTCTCCCATTTGCATAGATGAGTCTGATCTGTTTTTCAAAGAAAACAGATGCACTGTTACAGGATGGGGACAAATTAAGCCAGGTTGGTGATATTTTTTTTTATTTACACCACAACACAATAAATCAATAAACGCATATTTAAGTCTAGCATTTGTTAGTGTGTAGAGAAGCCACACCCCCCACACTCTTCAATATGGGAACAGGGAATTTCCCCCCTGTCAATTACCCCCCCGGATATTTCCCCCCTGTCAATTACCCCCCCTGTCAATTACCCTCCGCCCAGTAGGACATTACCCCCCCCCCCCGGGACAGGGTTAGGGCTAGGTTTAGGTTAGGGTTAGGTTTAGAGCTAGGGTTAGGGTTAGGTTTTAGGGCTAGGATTAGGGTTAAGGTTAGGGTTAAGATTAGGTTTAGCGTTAGGGTTAGAGCTAGGGTTAGGGTTGTGTCTAGCTTTGGTTTTGGTTTTGTTTGAAGTTTCAGGCTAAGGTGGATGCTTAGGTTTTGGTCTTTTTCTTAAGGTTTGGATTAAAGTAGTATATAGGTATAAAATTCTAGCTAGGATTTTAACTTGAGAGGGCGGGGGGGGGGGGGTAATTCCCCGGGGGGGGTAATTGCTCCGGGGGTAAATACGGGGGGGGGGGGAAATGTCCGGGGGGGGGAATATCCAGGGGGTAATGTCCTGTAGCCCTTTAATATATAGTTATGATTAAATAACCTTGACGGAATCTGAGTTTTATATCTAAATCTCATACTGCAGAGAAGGGGTCTCCTGGCAGCCGTTTTCCACATACTGTGACTCTGACAGTCATGACCCAAGAGAACTGCAACACGACCTTCACCCAGTTACCAGATAACCATCCGGTCAAGAAATATGTCTCGATTGAGTCTTCTGTGATGTGTGCAATAGGAGATGATCAAAATCAATCTGGAGTTGCTGAAGACGCATGTCAGGTATGGGGTCATCCATTTATGACGTCCACAAATGTTTTGGATTTTTTACCCTCCCCCCCCCCCCCCCCCCCACACACACACACACTAAAGTCCACTTAATTCCCTTTTAAAAGTCCACAAAAGTCAATTTTTCTCGGACTCCTCCCCCCCCCCCCCCCCTGTGGACGTCATAAATGGATGACCCTTATGGTCATTTAATTTAAATCACAAAAAGATCTGGAAATTATATGACCATTTCATTTAAAAACAAACACAAATATGTCTAGTCTGGAACAATTTGCATAATTTTCTATTAAATATTAAGAACATATGAGCTGGACTGCTAGCCCGTAAGTCTTGAGTTCGAATCAGGGTTCAAGTCAGTAGACTGTCCCTGAGTCCACCCAACTCTGATGGGTACCTAACTAAGGTTAAGGAAAGTAAAGGCGGCTGGGCATAGTGCTGACCACACTATCTCTTCATATGTCGAGGTCACAGCAACAAGTGAACTCTACTTCGCTTGCCCCATAGACCGTCAGGTTTGAAAGGGAAACTTTACTTTTTACTTCATTAAGAACATATAAAATAAGTCTAATAACCAAAATCTTGCTTGCAAAATGTAAATATAACAAACAAGGAACTTGAATAAGAAAGTGTTCAATATCTGTTATAATTCTGTAGGAAAAATTTTACAAGGAATTTTAAAAAGAGATTATTTTATAGTTGTTTTTTTTTTTTTAATTTTTCTTCAGTACAAAAAAAAGTGTGTAGGGAAGCAATACAATTTTATCCCTGACTCAATGCTCTTTATGTCCCCAAATTAATAGTTTAAATATCTCTGCAAATTAAATAATATTTCTTTTATCAAATCACTTAGAATGTAGCTTTCTCTCTGCAGTAAGACTAAAGATCATTTTCCCACTAAATTTTATTAAAACAAAATGAAATTATTTCCTTCATAGGGTGACTCAGGCGGGCCACTGATGTGTGAGGTGAATGGACGCTGGTACCAAATTGGTGTTGTGTCTGCAGGCTACGAGTGTGCGCTGCCAGGATTTCCTGGTCTCTACTCGCGCCTGACCTTCTACAAATCTTGGATTAAGGAGACCATGGCCTTAGCAGAGAAGAATGGCTAGTCTAGCGGATGTTATAAAGTTGTTTACTGTTGAAAAAGAAATTGTACCGATCTTTCTTTGTTGAGTATTGGGAGCAGGACAGTACCCTGTCAATATCCCCCAGGTTAATTACCCCCTTTTGAAATACATGAATAGGACTTTACCTCACAATGCCCATTAATGGCTCCCTCCAACATTACTAATACTATATTACTTCCCGATCACTAATAATAGTGCACTATATTTGTGGCTGGCTGCTTTGTATTCATTACATTGTAATGTTGGTGTGAAGGAATGGATTTTGGCAATGTGATAAAACTTTTACTTTTAGCATGCTATGTTTATTTTTTTTTCTGTCTGGTCAGCTATCTTTTAAAGTACCGTGTTCTTTTGATACATCATTTATTTTAACTGACTAGCTCTTTTGTGGGTTTCTAAAAATATACAAGTTTTATGAAATTTTAATTTTTTTAAATCTTAAAATGTATTTCAAAAATATTACTCCCAACAATAAAAGGATATAATAATTCTTAAAACGTATCATTTACATTAAATAGCCTATTTTATTTAATGGCTAGTGAATACATGCTTTATATATAGAGAGAAAGACACTTAAAACGTTTTATTACTAAAATATGTATTCAACTACTTGTCAAAATAGAGCTGGACTGCTAACCTGTAAATCTCGAGTTCGAATCAGGGTTGAAAGTCAGTAGAACGCCCCTGAGTCCACCCAACTCTGATGGGTACCCAACTCACGTTAGGGAAAGTAAAGGCGGCTGGGCATAGATCTGACCACACTATCTCTTCACATGCTGAGGTCACAGAAATAAGTGAACTCTACTTCACTTGCCCTATAGACCATCAGGTTTGAAAAGGGAACTTTACTTGTCAAAATTCAATCAATAAGTTAATTTGATAGGCCTCTGGATTTTAATACCAGCAATAAGATAAACAGTGTATTATTTCATTGTAACTGTAAACCAGGCGTCGTAACTTCTTACACACTAAATTTGAAGCCATTTTATAGGAAGCTTAGGCTTTAATGTCTGACCGGTTTTTCTTTTGAAATATATATAATATTGGCTTGACTGTTGGGTCTGCCTCCGTGTCTCATCAAATACAATGTTCTGAGTCAACCTAGCTCGTGGCAACGTGTTTCTGTCACTATGTGTTACAGATGTAACTGAATCAATTTTGTAATTGAATGTATTTTTTGTATATTGTTCAATTTAATCAAGGTTTGTACATGTTTTTTTTTGTATATATATATAATTAGAAATATTTAAAGTGGGGGTAATTACCATGAGGTTTGATCTGCAGATTATGGCAGGTGGCTAGGACAGAGTGACGGATATGGCTGATGGGGGTAATGTCCTAGACTTGTGGGGTAATAATTTTTGTTGCTTTTCTTAAATTTTTTTAAAACACCAGCTAGGTGTTAATGAAATGTAATGTTGTTTAGTTTTAAACCAGAGTAAACAAACATCTAATTAACATCAACATATTTCTAACAACACCTCTGTGAATATATATATATATATATATATATATATATATATATATATATATACACACATACATATGCACATTTTAAAACTAAACAAAAACACATCTGTAGTATGAACTAGTAACCTAACAAAAAATGAGCAATTTTTTTTAAGATTTTGGCTTGTAAGCCTTCAATTATGATTGGTGATATATTGTGCCATTTTAATTAGATTTTTTAAATTTAATTCTTTTTAAAACTTTTTTTTTAGATAATGGCAATGAAAACACTTAAAATATTAAACAATACTTTCAAAACAAGACATTTATCTAAATAACATTGACACTTTGAATTTGTACATTCAGTGTTGAACATGTTATGTCTGCTAAAATAGGTATTATGTATAGTAGTGATATTATTCATAATCTTTTAGTTATTTAATTTAATCCCATACATTTGCAAAAGGACATATTAAAACAAATGAATGAGTTGTTCAATTTTTATATGAGTTTTTTGTCTACCAGCCAGAATTAACTGCCTGCCTAAGCATTTGTGTCCCTCTACACAGCATTATGGTGATTAATATACCCCATTAGAGCATTATATTTTAAATATAAATCTACTACATTTACAATTAACCAAACCATTTGTTTGACAACTGGATAAACCTGGTTTCATGAGATGAGGTCTCAACCCAAATTAAATAGATTTAGTTTCAAGACAAAAAGTCTCAACCCCAAGCTAACATGTGGTTTCCTGACAAAAGGTCATAATCTACACCTGCCAGATAGGGTTTTATGAGATGTGATCATATAGATCTAGTATTTTAAGGTCTCAGCCCACATTTTACAGATTTGGGATTTATGAGATGAATAAGTCACTACCCGATCGGCCCTCATTTTTTGTCCCATCCACTTGTAAATTCATCACAAGCAATTAGTAAAGTATCACTTTCAGATGAAGTATAGAGCAGACAAAGGTTGTCCCCTACTTCATTGATCAAATAATATAACTCCGGTACTCTAAACCATACATTTAACACAACTTTGATTAATAAAAAATAGGTATTCAGATGTTTTACACATCAAAACATTCCTTCATTTAACAAAAGATGAACAGTACATGGTTTTCATTTATACTACACCAATAAATAAAGGAGAAAAACAGCGTATTGTATAATTTTGTATTATAAACTGAAACCATTGAACATCACCACCTGTTTTCAAGACCTTGCAGATAACCCTCAGCCTGAAAGGGAATTTTAATTTTGTCCGGAACTGTCTTCCCTTTAGCTTTTAACTCTTGTTTTAAAACCATCGCTAATAAAGGTGGGCACTCCAATGCTTTTGGCACTTTGCTCATGTCTATTTGGAACACTTCTGTTTGTTTACAGAATTCCTGCTCTTCTTCTTTAGGTACAAGGATCCAGTCAGCTTGGTGGCCACGAGTTATTTGGGTGACACCTTTAACTTGACCTCGAAAAACCTGTTCTCCCCATGCAGTTCCTTCATAAAATTCCTGTAATTTAGTATTTCCAAATTAGTTAGATGTACATACATTTATATGACCTACAATTAGATGATAGGTAACAGAAAATGTATTAGATAATAAAAAACAAGTCTAGTTAAACTGTTAATTAAAGGGAGAATTTCTAAGTCTAAGTGACAGTGATTTAGGTCCTTTTAGGCTGTACATACATGTTGGTAGCATAGATATATATATATATATATATATATATATATATATATATATATATATATATATATATATATATATATATATATATATATGTTACGGTCAAAGCCCGAAGTGTGACCAAACCCCGGATTGGCCGGCCAATGTGCGCATTGGCCGGCTCTCTTGGCCAAAGCCCGAAAAACTTAGCACTAAGAGCGTATTTTGTACATCTAGACAAAATTGTGATCGCGTTTTCATTATTCTGGGTGCGGCTTCATTGTGAGTAACGTATTGTTTGGCTCTTGTTGTATAGCATTCTGTATGCAATGCGACATGGACCAAAAGGACCGTCAGATCAAGAGACAGACATACCAGATGGCTGCCAAAATAAATAATCCAAATCCTAATGGAAAAGAATTTGTGAATCAAGTTAATTCAGAACTAAAGAACATGTGGCCTGAACTTAAACTAATTCACAGAAAACCAGGCATAGCCAAAGCCAAGGTTCAGTAGAACGTGCCAACTAAAATATTCAAACATGATGGATGCAGACAGATGAATCATCTCATTGGGCTGAGAGTTTTATGAAAAACCATAATTTTCATCAAGGAATCCAACAATCGCCATACGAAGCCTTGTTTGGATGCAAAGCAAAAGTGGGACTTAGCACTTCAAATCTACCAAGAGAGGCTCTCGATAAGTTATAAGTTAGCTACTTAAGAAGATCTTGAGAACATTGAACAAGAAATGGAGGTTACTATAAATGCAACGACATCCTCAGCTAACACATCTGCTGCCGTGGCAATAATGTGGCCAACAGATTCTGTATAGTTTGTGAAAAACATTGTAGTGCAGCCCATTCTTGTGGATCCTGCGACAACGATGTCCATGCTATTTGCGGAATACCCAATGAAGCAGACGAAGGGTACGGAGGGAACATTACCTGCAGATTGTGTCACAATAAACAAGACATCATGGACAACATGTCAGCAGCTCATACTAGCTTGCAAACTCAAGGTGCTAAGATGCTTAAAACATCAAATACAAAATTTAAACAAGCTGAAGTGGATGACAATGTACGCATCCGTACACTAGATGTTGACAGAGGTCGCGGTGATCCTCAAACCGTCATTGCAGTTGTCATGTGCGTCGAGGGCGCTTTCTACTATTTAGGAACGGAACATGGTGTTCTAAACCAACAGTATGCTAGAAGTGAGTTTTCAATTCTTCACAAAAAACTGCTCTTATTAACGTCAGTTAGAACTGAGGAAAAATCATCACGAACCATCGCATCTTCACAATCATTGACCGGCGGCCAAGGCTACACTAGCTGCAATTGCACAACCAAGTGCACAAAAATCGCCAAAGGCCGAAATCAAGAGCTATTTCAGACTTTAATCGGTCCACCATTGCCAGTCCGCGGATTGGCCTGCCAAAGGCCGAAATCAAGCAAAGTTTTGGACTTTGACCGGTCAATGGGAGGCGATGTTGGCCAATCCGCACATTGGCCGACTTCGGGCTTTGACCGTAACATATATATATATATATATATATATATATATATATATATATATATATATCCAGAAAGTGTATTACTCACTTAGCCATTCGAATGTGTTTCTAAATAGTTGCACATTTTCTTATGATGTTCTGCATAAATTGTAATCATTTGTTACTTTTCAATTGGGTGGGGCTTGCTTATTTAGAGTTCTTCTCACTTGTTATATCTTTATGTTGTGTGATTTTTTTGTGTGATATATATATATATATATATATATATATATATATATATATATATATATATATATATATATATATATATATATATATATATATATATATATATCCAGAAAGAAAAACAGGCTGAAGTCAATAGGCCATACAGCCCAAAATATGTTGACATGTAATACTTAATTATTTAATTATCCCCTCCAACAATGTGATTGAGAAAATTATTAGTTACTTTGTCCACCCACAATAATGTTCCAGTTGATTTTCTGCCCAAAAACAGGAAGCAACCTAGAACTAGGCTTGAACCCCAAAAATACTAGCTCTGGTTCTGGTTTGTTGTTTTTTTATTATATATATTTTTTAGGGTCTTCACTACCCATCAGGTAGCTCTGATTTTAATTTAAATGTGAGACTTTAAACAAATGAATTATCAGCCTTTCTATGCCAGAAAAATTCGTCCAATTTTATTCCAATATTATGTAAATTTTACTCTTAAAAGCTGAGCAGCCAGCTCACATATTATGGTACCCTAACCCCATCCTAGGATATCATTATCACATTTATAGACTAATGTTAATATTAGGCCTAACACACAACACTATGCATGCCTGACAGACTGAAAGGAGATTGCTCATACTGTTTTGAGTTTATATTTATCTCAGTGCAACAAGCCCGCCGGTTGGTTGACACGAGGGGCTCATTCTCCACCAGTGATACTAAGGGTTGATTCTAAAAATTATCCAAAGCGACATCTGATGCTAAATTTAATTTGGTGTTTTTAACATTAAATCTATAAAAAAAACAGTCATACTGTTAATAGCCCTAACTAACTACTTTAACTAGACCTAGACTACAATATATACTGTCTTATACTAATAATAGTAATTCTTCTTCTTCGTTCTTAATTTTAGTGTTGGGAGGGATCGAGCCTTATCTGCCAGAGGGTTTGAACTCGAGACTTTATAATAGTAATAATAAGGCCGATTCTAGGCGGAAAAAGATATGCATGCGCAATGGAGAGAAACTACCACTTGCCATCACGGCGATGTTTTCTATGGTACTGCGCATGCATGTGTTTACAACCGCAGAACCCTAATACCTAATACCAACCCTAATCCTATCCCTAATCCTATCCCTAACCCTAATTGAAAAATTCTAGTCCTAACCCTAGCCATAGGTCACTGCGCATGCGCAGAGCTAGATCTATCTTTTGCCGACTAAGTGGAGACGTTGGGGAGAAAAATCTTCTTCCGAGTAGTCACTTCGTACTAATAATACACACTACACAGGGATTTTCCCAGTAGACTGGGAACAGATTATCATTTTTACATTTTAGATTAGAATATTGGCCGATTCTAGTCGGAATAAGATACGCATGCGATACGCATGCGCAATGGAGAGAAACTACGACTTGCTTTAGTGGCGATGTTTTCGATGGTACTGCGCATGCGTGTGTTTACAACCGAAGAACCCTAATCCTCTCCTTAACCTTATCCATAATCCTATCCCTAACCCTAATCCTATTCCTAACCCTCATTCTAGCCCTAACCATAGCCATAGGTCACTGCGCATGCGCAGAGCTATCTTTGATTCTTTTGCCGACTATGTGGAGACGGGGAGAAAAATCTTCTTCCGAGTAGACACTTCGTAGAATATTAGACACTCTGATAAATTTAAGAGACAAACCTTGCAAGACATTTTTGGTTCTACTTTTGTAAGTCTGTAGTATGATTTTTGTGTGGGCCACTTCAATTCAACACTTTTTTGGTAAACTATTCGACCAACTCCTAAGTCTCGTAGTTGCCGACATATTTCGTACAGTGGTTTTCCCTTGAAAAATGGCTCACGGCCTATGTAGCGGATCGGCATTGTTATACAGTTTTTATCACGTTGAAATACAGTTGTTCCAAAAGAATAACCGAGCACTACTAGAATCTAAATGTAGATCTATAAATATTTAAAAATACTGAGTTTTTGTATTCTTTTTAGAAGCTGAGATATTGAAAACAACAACCAGATGTAAAGGTCAATATCTTATGGACGCTGCCATTTTGGTTGCTCTAAAAAGCAAATTGTGTTTGTCGAAGTTAAAATGCTGAAAAATTATAAACATAACCTCCTGTACCAGAATGATAATCTAGATATAATCTAGGCGTGTTTTTTTCTTTCATAGATCTAGGTTATTGTATGTATAATTTTCTTATCAAATTGTTATTAAATTCGCAATGTTTGTTAAGCTGCCTGTCTGATAGCCTGTCTGGACGGCCAAATTTATTGTAGCGACTTTTTTCCATAACCTTCGTTCATCTCCGCTGACTACACAAAAAATGTACGATTTTCAATCACATTATGTATTAAAATATAAAAAACTCAATATAAAGACTATTATATTCGATCAGTCAGATGAGTTGACGATCACGTCGAGTGTAATGTTGCCTGGTCGGATGTCACCTAGTGCAATAACTGAAGGTGTCACCTCCCCCCTCCCTCCAACAATCACTGTTTCTTCCAGACTTTTTTCTCCGGGGTGGGGGGGGGGGCACTTGAACTTTTTTGGAGGGGGGCAGACTAAAATTTTTGGGGAGGGGGGGGGGGCACTGGTAAAAGTATGTACTTTCTATATAAATTATGTTTCGGTAGACATTTTTGGAGAGCTCCCCCCCGCCCCCTGTAGAGATGCCTGGAAGAAACTATGCCAACAATTTAGCATTTTTCGTTTGGTTTCACCTCTATCCCTCTACTAATTTTGTTATCTTTACTGGATCAAACAATGTTTTAGCAGGGAATTTAACTATTTCATGTCGTTGTGTCACCCACTTAATAATGTCACCTCCATAACAGGCTTGCCTATATGGGGCAGACAATACTCTTTCAGTGTGATTTAATAAAATAAATATTTTTAGTCATATTTTTTAGTCATAATTTGAGTTAGTTCAAGAATAAGCAGCATAATTTTGGAACGAATGAATGTAGAAGGCTTACTAATTGTTTTCAAAAATTAAATAGAAACCTACGAAACAGAATTTTTATTTATGTATCTGAGGTCACCGTTTTAAAAAAAAATTAATTTTAAACTGAGTTTTTAGTTGTTATTCAAAATTTTAAAATACTGTTTTTGTGATCTGTAATTTAATTGACCTGGGTTTGATAAAGTATTCTTTATTTAAATCTTCATTAACTATAGTTTCGTAAAAAATTACGTTCATTCACATTATGTATCTGAGGTCACCGTTTTAAAAAAAAATTAATTTTAAACTGAGTTTTTAGTTGTTATTCAAAATTTTAAAATACTGTTTTTGTGATCTGTAATTTAATTGACCTGGGTTTGATAAAGTATTCTTTATTTAAATCTTCATTAACTATAGTTTCGTAAAAAATTACGTTCATTCACATTCAAAGGGAAATAATTCAATTAATATTTTGCCAATATCAATCCAGCTTATATCCCCTAAGCAGGGAGACCATCCAAAGTTTATTACTAATTCTCCACAAAAAGCAGCCATCCAACTAAAAATTGGTTCCGTTCGAACTTTAGTAATTTGATTTACTTGCACCAAATATACTTTGCCGCTCCAATCAATACCATAACATTGTCATCATTTATAGGGGTTATTTAATCGTTATTTATGTCAGTCAATTAGGATTGAGTTGGACTAACCGTTTTCTTTCTCTAAAACCACGTAAAACTTGTTAGTATTCTATTGATGAAAGCATCATCGATTCTGTGCTGGTAACTTTACTCACACTTTACTTACAAATTTTTTTAAAACATTTTTTTTAGAGTGAAGAGGTTGTATTAATGTTAGGGTTTCTTTCAGCCATTATTTAAGGAGGGTGACTTTTAAATTTCCGATGGGGTAGAGCACTTAAAATTTCCGGGATGGGGGGGGGGTATTCATCTATACAAATTACATATTTTTCTATTTCCGCCCCCTAGAGATGCCTGAAAATTAACGTCTTTTCTGCGCCAGGCTGCCAACAAAATGCTACACAGTTTTACACACAAAAAAACCTTGAAACAGTGTTACGATTCATCACAACAATAATTTATTACATATTTAAACATAAAAACAAAAATCTTCGTTTAAAGTTTAAGCAAACAGCACTTTTTATCTAAATAAATTTCATTAAATACAAAACTGAACTTACCACTTTATATGTTACTCACAGAAGAAGCAAACAATAGTATGTAATAGGTTTTTAGACTCTCTGATCATATTTTTCAAGTGCGGAATATTTTTAAATTGTACAAAAAATTATAAGACGAATTTCTCTGATTACAAATCAATAGGATATGGCTTAAAGAGGGAAAGGGCATCACTGAGACAGTAAAAAGCCTGTTACTTTTTAAAAACTCTTTCTTGTGATACATTTGTTCGAGTTAGTAAAAATTGTGTGCAACAAATATGTAGTTAAACTGGTTAAGTGTTTGTTTTGGGAATACACATAGCTTACATATAGACAGCGTGTTGAAGAAATTCCATGTAGGTCGACCTACAAGTGATATTAGAGTTGGTCACTACTGACGTCATTGATCTGTTTCTTCATGCAAGTCAAGTCAAACGGGCACATTCCGGAACCGTCTGGTTCTCCACTATTGTGGTGACTGCACATTCCAGAACGGTTCGATTTCCCATGGTTATCCTGACTACACATCCCAGAACTGTTGGGTTTTTCATCATCGTTGGGGCTACACATTCCGGAACCATTAGATTTTCCACCATTATCCTGACTACACATCCCAGAATATTTTTCATCATCATCGGGGACACAGCTACTACTACACACCGCCTTTGTTGATCTGTTATTTTTATGCTCATCGCGTGAGATTATGAGATTCTTTCCTACCATAGGAGCTACTGTGGGCGATTTTAAATCTGGTTTGCGCGCAAGAGAGTCCGGATTTTGTTTTTGCCGTATGCCAAAATAGTATTCCTCGTTGTCACCAGATGTAGCAGAATCTTTACGGGTGCACAAACCTTTTTCATAATTTTCTGAGCTTTTGATAGTGTATGTTTTTATGTCTTTCAAGGCATGATCGTTCACTGCAGTTTCGTTTATAGTTTGACTTTCATGACAAGATGACTCCATATTTGTATCAGTAGGTTTCGCTGTGATGGTAAGTGAACGAGTAACCGATAGCTCTGAAGTTGATTTAAAAGGGGGTTCTAATACAGGTGATACGACTTGGGATGATTCTACAGATGAGTGGACAGGTGTGTCGACAGGTGATACCTTCACAGGTGTGTTAACATGTGATACCTTCACAGGTGTGTTAACATGTGATACCTCGACAGGTGTGTAGACAGGTGAGGCCTCATCAGGTGTGTTAACAGATGATACCATGACAGGTGTGTCAAGCGGGAACAGAGAGGGGTCTATGACCTCACACTCGAAATTCATTTCCATAGGTTCAGGTTTCTCCGCAACGTACACACCAACCTTGTCTAACACACCCGCTTTGAGCTGTTCTTTCCCTCCCCCTGGATATCCAAACTTCCGCTCTTCCCTCGAATAACCAACTCTCCCAAGGGAGCCTATGGCGAGACCCGCTTTGAGCTGTTCTTTCCCTCCCCCCGGATATCCAAACTTCCGCTCTTCCCTCGAATGACCAACTCTCCCGTCGGAGTCTATGATGAGGCCCGCTTTGGGCTGTTCTTTCCCTCCCCCCGGATATCCAAACTTCCGCTCTTCCATCGAATGACCAACCCTCCCGTCAGAGCCCATCAGGCCTGCTTTGATCATGTTGATGTGTTTCATCTTCTCCTTCTCGTCCAGCTCACTCTGGAGTCTGCTGGAGCTCCCGTCACGTGACTCCTGTTCTATAACTTGTAGAACATCTTCGATCAACGGCAGACGAGCTTTTGGTTTAGAAACTCCCGCCGTTGTTTTCAGTGACTCAGGAACTACTTTCTCTTTTCTAAAAATACCAGTGACCGGAGCGCTATGGGTTGAAATAAAAACCTTGGGCGTTGGCTGCCATGTTGTAGGGTCGTCCTGCTGGGCAAAGCTGGCGTAGGAATTTATTTGTTCTTGTTTTTTCATTTTCCTTGAAGTAGCCACAGGATCTTCTCCTTGCTGAAGTTCCGTTCTAGCTCCGCCCATTAAATTTGATTGGCTGTTTAAACCAATATTAATGTATGACTTGATGTTCGAACCTGTATTTAAATTTGGTTGGATATTTAGGCCTTTATCCAAATGTGGTTGGTTAATTGGTTTGTTTGTAGCAAATATTGGATCACCGTGTTTTAATTTGTTTTTTATTGTTTCGGTACTTAACATTTTCCGAATAAATTTATTTTGAGGAAACTCCCCATCCGTTTCTATAGTATCATCATCATCGAATTGAAAACGGCGCATAATTTTTTCCGAGTTGGTTCGCACGAACTTTTGTTTACCTTTTGCATTCGCAGACAGCGACGTCTGCTGGGGCTGACTTAACGCCTGCTCAACTGGGATAAACTCAAATCCGCGCCAACTATTTGATTGCGGATTTATAATCCTCCCTGTCGTCATACCAACAGCGGATGAAGATTTATCCCCTGACATTATATCCACAACCGATGAAGGTTTTACCCCCGACGTCTTTTCTTCAACCGATGAAAATTTCAAACCGGAAGTCGTGCCACGCCAGTCTGCGGACGTGTAAGAAGTCTGGAATCTATCGTAGATGTTCCCTGGACGTGCTGGCTTGAGCACACCGAAGCTCTCTGATTGGCTCCGGCTGATGATTGGTCTATGACGACACGAGGAACTGTGCGTCATATTCTGACACACCTCCTCCAGCCTCGCTTCCGTCTTCTTCAGCTGGATGATTTCTTTCATTAGCTCTACTTGCTTCTGCTCCAGCTCATCGATTGCCTGAGGTGGAATAACCGAACCATTAGTATTTTAAATAAGAGTACCATTAGTATTTTAAATAAGAGTACCATTAGTATTTTAAATAAGAGTACCATTAGTACTTTAAATAACTGTATTATTAGTTCTTTGAATAACAGTACCATTAGTACTTAAATAAGAGTACCGTAAGTACTTTATATAACAGTACCATTATTACTTAAATAACCGTATCATTAGTACTTTAAATAACCGTACCATTTGTACTTTAAATAACCGTACCATTTGTACTTTAAATAAAAGTACCATTAGTACTTTCAATAACAGTACCATTTGTACTTTAAATAAAAGTACCATTAGTACTTTAAATAACAGTACCATTAGTAATTTCAATAACAGTACCATTAGTACTTTAAATAACCGTACCATTAGTACTTTACATAACAGTAGCATTAGTACTTACAGCCTGTTACGTCTGACATTGCATAATTATGAAACTCATGTAAAATGTAAAATAAAATTTGAGTAAAAACATTTCTTCCTACCTGTCTCCGTTTATCATTATCACTGTTGGTCAGTTTACGGCTGCTGTGTTCATGTGACGTCATTCCCTTTCTGAGGGCCAGCTGATGACCACAACTTTGGGCGGGCTGTGTTTGGTACGTCTGACCTGTAAGGTGTAAGGTGTATGGTGAAAGGTGTCTGACCTGTTAAACATAGTGTGTATGCTAAAAGGTGTCTGACCTGTAAGATGTAAGGTGTGTGGTGAAAGTTGTCTGACCTGAAAGATACAATTGTGGTGAAAGGTGTCTGACCTGATATACATAGTGTGTATGCTAAAAGGTGTCTGACCTGTAAGATATAATGTGTATGGTGAAAGGTGTCTGATAAATATGGCTTGTGTTGTGTAAGCTGTCTGTGCTGTTGACTAAACAGTGCCTTGGTGTGTATAAAAATAAACAAATATTTCACACGCGTGAAAAAAAGTAAAAATTATAGATAGTTTTAAATAAGGAAGGAATGTTGTAAAAATCCGTTAAAGCGATTTCTACAATGCAGAGAATGTAAAAATTAAAGCGAGTTTTGAATAAATATTAACCGTTTTCTAAAAGACATTGAATGTGAAATATGAATCTGTATGAAAAAATAAATAAATGGTGTTGTTGTATTAAATAGGGCATACTAAAGAAGGGTTGGTTAACGTTAGTGACGATGTGTTTGTGTTTCGTCCAGTGTTAAGAAATGTGTGGTAAAACCATAACATTTATATTTGAACAAATTCCTTCTATATTATAAATATTTTTTTTTGTTTATTTTTTTTGTTTCTTTAAGGGCTGAGGAAAGTTTGATTTTTATGTGACGTTCAAATTCGCCAAACGAATACAAACGCTTCTAATATAGTACTTACTAGATCTACTTGTTTCCTCAAAGTATAAAACGGAAATTTCCGCAAAACTCACCTATGCGGTAATTTCCAATACTATTTCTAACTTAACCGCAGGCAAGTTACTGTAGATTTCAATATATTGAAACAAGATGGACGCAAGCGTTTATGATAGCCTAACCACACCTAAGAGTACACAATATATTGCTCAAAAAGTCTATACAAATTAGGGATTAGGCCGAGATCATGCTAGCAATTTACCCAGAAAATCGTGTGACAGTTTTGATTAAAGAAAATATCCTTCAATACTAACAAAACAATATATCACAACAATTAACATTGATGCAACAACAGTCAGATACAAAGACATCCCAACAATATAAAGTTAGCTGTAGCCTGTAACAAAACTGCTAGTACATAATGGATCGTGCACATATTATAGGCCCTATAATTAAACTACGAATTGACCCACCCCTACCCTATTTAACTTTAACACCCCTTTCCTACTTAATTTTATATAATATTGCCATATACCACCACTTCTCATATTCTAAAACATTTCTATTTTCATTTCCATCGCTTCTTAGCACTATGCCAAAAGCCGGAACCATAGAATGTTGAAGGTTATATATATATATATATATATATATATATATATATATATATATATATATATATATATATATATATATATATATATTCATATATATGTATATATATTAGATCAAGAACATAGAAACTAGGAAATATGGTGGTTTTCGGGTATATATATATATATATATATATATATATATATATATATATATATATATATATATATATATATATATATATCCATCTATAAGGCGTTTTTTTGTTTACTATGTACCACAACCGCATAGCATAGTTAGTGGCTAGACTTCCTATCAAGTCCATCCACTCCCTCATTATAAGAGCTACAGGGGTTTAGTTTAATAGAGATTTCTAGACCTATTATATTCAACGTTCATTTCAACCCAAGCTTTACATTTGTAAATCACAAGGTGTTCCAATGGTTAAGTTTAATCACTTTGTAATAGAACTGTTGTACCTATCGTTCATTTTAACCCAAACTTTGCGATTTCATTGTAAGCAGTATTTTAAAATATTAAATCTTTTTTAATTGCAAAGAATAAACTCTTGCCATTGTTTGTATGTTTCAGCTAGTGAGACAAATTTTTTTAACATAATTAAAACAACTAGATCTATAGCATACTTATTTTGAAATGACTAAATTAGACCTTAATTGTAATATTGGACATAGTCAAATCTCTCTAATGGACATTTTTAAATACATATAAATGTCTGTTTTGCTGCTTCATGAAACAAGCAGGAATACCTGATATGAATGACTACAAACAAGGTGGAATGAATGGACGAGCGATTCCCAAAAAAAAGAAGAGGCTGAACGCTTTGCTCCCTAAAATCTTAAAGGAACCCGTGCTTATTAGCTCGTGACTTACCTACTTAACTTGACATTCTTCTATTTATATTCATTTTTATACAAAAATCGTTTGGCTTAAACCATTATAACAATTTTAATGTCACAAATCACAATTTTCACACTCTCCTCTGTTGAATTGGGTTTACTACCGGTAAGGGAATTTCCGGCAGTGGTTTGTAATGAAAATAGGGAAAACCCGTTGTTAAGTTTCTGTATTAGAGCTAGCATAGAATCCGCTCTGCTTAGATTTTATGCTGGTTTTTTTGCAAACTTCAAGCATGCGCACTAACAGGCTCTGAAATTTCTTCAGTCTAGTAATTAATTACTGTACATCTAACGTAGCTATTTGTTTTTCACTACAAAATCGTCTTCGTTCACCTATCCCCCCCCCCCCCAAAAAAAATTTTAAAATTCTCTTCCATAGCTTAATTAGCTATAGGCGCCAATCAAAGAAATTATTTCTCAGAACAAACATCTACCTTGTCAACATATCAAAAAATGTTTTATCAGTTATAGCCTAGCGTTGTGATATTGACCAATAGCGCTCAAAATTGAGCCAGACTCTTCAATTTTTGAAACTCGAGACTTCAAAAAGTATTCACAAAATTTATTTTAAAAAATTAAATTTAAAAAAAAAATATTTCCAAAACTACCTCTTTTCGGCTATTTAAAAAGAGTTTTAATAGTCCCCATTTGAATTTTTAAAAACAGTTACTTTTTTTCCAGACGCAAATGTTTTATTTAAAAATCAGTTGGGTACAATTCAATACATTGGCAAGCTTTCATTCCTAGACCATCATAATAGACAGAAAATGAGGGACACAGTAAAGTGACAGATTTCAAAATAAATTCAAATGGATGATATAGAAATAATTGGTCCAAATTTCAAAGCCTTGCTATACATTGGTTGACTAAACATTATTGAGTTTACTATCTTTTTACAAAACAGACTTCCATCTTTACTGAAAATAAATATGCACACAAAATAAACTTGGCTTTTTACACAAAACAAAATCATGCTAAACAAGATTAACCAGAGCAACATCTGCAACCACATTGCATGAAGTGTTTCTTCCAGACTTTTTTCTCCGGGTGGGGGGGGGGGGGGGGGTGGGGGGGGGCACTTGAAATTTTCGGGGGGGGGGGGGCGGAAACTGTCAAAAGTATATATTTTCTAAATAAATTCCATTTCGTTAGGAGGGGGCGGTAGACTGTCTTTGTTGCCCCCCCCCCCCTGTATAGATGCCTGGAAGAAACTCTGATTGTATGCACTCCACTATTTTACCCGATTCAAGTTTGGATCTTGGAACTCTACAAATGCAGTTGGCACCAAAGTTGGTATCCCTAACTTGGATACATCTTAAGCAACACAGATTCTCATAACCTTGTTTTTTCCCATTAATTAAGCCATCAGGTTCTTGTCGGCCATGTTTTCTTTGAGTCAGTATTCATAGAGCTCTCTACTAATAGCCTTTCTGCAATAAAACATATCATAAATAATAAATGATGGTGGAGTCTGAAAATAGGCAAAAGAGCTTCAACCTTTTTTTTTAACCTTCATGAGGCTCAGTTTCCGCTTCTCTCATCATTGGATCCAATCTATCTAAAGTAGGCTAGAATAAGTTCCCAGCCATCGGGTTGAGGCTTCCTGCTTCTCTTTACTTTAGGCATTTAAAAAAAACCCACGGGTATTCAACTCGTTGAATGAGTTCTATCGCTCCCCGCTCCCTCGTTTCGATTATTTATAATTGTGTTTTGTGCTCATGATTTAAACTTTTTGAAGTAGTGTTATGGGCCCCTATTTAACTATTTCAATGAGTTTTTTAGGCCATATTTGACTATTTATGAACATTGTTATACACCCTCCCCATCCAACGATTTAATGGGGGGAAGGGGGGGTTGTTATAGACCCCCTTATTCGGCTACTTGAAGTAGTTATGGGCCCTTTTTTTTACTATGGTCCCTTTATTAGCTTATTTAAAATGTCTTGTCCCCCTATTTGACTGTTAAAGGAGTATTATCCCCCTCCCTCTTATTAGATTATTAAACAAGAGCAATACGTCATAGAAAAAGTTTAAATGTTTGCCTTTTTTTCACACTACAGTTTTTTTTTTCTTTTTTTTTTTACGCAACAGCTTTGGTTAGGACTGCAGAGCAACCAGCAACATATCTTTTTTTTTTTTACAAACCTGCTCTCATGGCGTACGAAAAAAAAACAATATTAGGATTTTAAAATCTCACTATTTATTGTCGTATATTTCGGCCCCACCTCAGTGGATAGCAAGTGCTAAGATAGCCACTTTGGACGCCAAACCTTATATTTAGGAATTTCTCATCTTCCCGGGGCGCCTCCAATAAGAATTTTTTTTTTTCCTGCAGAAACCTTCCCAGGAGTATTCTAATCAACCACCCCCCCCCCCCCAAAGGTTTCTTGGCACTCGAATGACGGTGTCAAGCCGCATCCGACTTTTATTTTTATCTACCGTATACAGAGAAGAATCGAATGGCACCCTGCTGGGGCACAGCACTTGCGAAATTTACAAACAAATTTTCACAGAAAACCTCACCAGGAATATTCTCAATAACTTACATAAAGGGCATATACAACATGTACGCACGCACGCACGCACATACGCACGCACGCACACACATATACACACATATTTTCACTTTATATATATAGTTTATCTGCCCAAAATATTTTTATTAACCATGGAACAAATTTTCATTAAGCTTTTGAGGCAAGGTCAAATGGGCATATATTTATGTACGATAAGAAAATGAAAGATAAATAAAGTTTTAAATGAAACAGGAGTTAAATTTTTTTGTTATTTTTCATATTTATTTTTTTAATGACAAAAGACACTTCCCACGAAATTAATGTTGCTATAACGAAAATTGTATCTTTTTACAAAGTAAGAGACGATTAAAGCTAATAGTTTTGTATTTACATTAAATTTAATAATAATTCTAGTACACTTGTGAATCATAAATATCAACAAAAGTTTATTAGCAATTTTAATATAAGTATTTAATGTAACAAAAAAGTTTAATTTTCAATAATATTGTACCAGATACATTTTTATTTATTTTTTTAAAGAGCAAAGTTATAGGTTATGTCCCTTGATATTATTACATTTTGAAATGGGAAGTAGCTTTGGTACCATTGGCGGTTTCTGCTACAGGCATAACTAAACAACTTCGAGGAGATATTATTTTTATATCGAGGGGCTTTTTTTTTTTTTTTTTTAGAAAATCAAGTTACTTGAATTAATGTTACTAGCTATGAAACGAACTTTCAGTTTAGCCTATGGCAGGATTGTTTGGGGGGAGACAGTAGATAATTACATGCGTCTTTGGCTGTTACATACACGGGAGGAGAGATATCAATACAAGATAGCAAGGTAAGCAAGAAATAGTCAATATTTCCTGTCTAAGGTTTATGTGTTTGGGCCTATACGTGTGCAGTAAATCATCATCATCATTCCTTGTGGCCCCTGGGGAGCAAAGGTCTGCAACTACACATTTCCAGCGGACTCGGTTTTGGGCTGCAGTAAATATATGACTTTTATGCAACAACACGGGGGCGGCTTGGGTTCGAATCAGGGTTCATGTCAGTGGAGCGTCATTGAGTTCACCCAGCTCAGATGTGTATCTAACTCACGTTAGGGAAAGTTAAGGCGGCTGGGCATAGTACTGACCATACTATCCCTTCATATACCGATGTCAAGATACATATAAACTCTACTTCATCTGCCCGAGGGATCGCTAGGTCTAAAGGGAATCTTTTACAGCTGTGTATTACGAGCTAGAGGGAGTTTGATTAGCTGTTTAGTTAATCAGCCATGTTCGTTTTCAAAGTTTAAGTACTATCAACATAGCTTGGTGATGTTATAATATTGTTAGTAGTAGAGTTCTCTGGAATACATTTGTCATTCCCTCTGTACAGTTGGTGTATTGACCCTAGCACAATTGTCATTCCCTCTGTAACATTGGTGTAGTGACCCTAGCATATTTTTCATTCCCCCTGTAACATTGGTGTAGTGACCCTAGCACATTTGTCGTTCCCTCTGTACAGTTGGTGTATTGATCCTAGCACATTTGTCATTCCCTCTGTAACATTGGTGTAGTGTCCCTATACATTTGTCATTCCCTCTGTACAGTTGGTGTAGTGACCCTAGCACAATTGTCATTCCCTCTGTACAGTTGGTGTAGTGAACCTAGCACATTTTTCATTCCCTATTTAACATTGGTGTAGTGACCCTAGCACATTTTTCATTCCCTCTGTAACATTCGTGTAGTGACCCTAGCATATTTCTCATTCCCCCTGTAACATTGGTGTAGTGACCCTAGCACATTTGTCGTTCCCTCTGTACAGTTGGTGTATTGATCCTAGCACATTTGTCATTCCCTCTGTAACATTGGTGTAGTGTCCCTATACATTTGTCATTCCCTCTGTACAGTTGGTGTAGTGACCCTAGCACAATTGTCATTCCCTCTGTACAGTTGGTGTAGTGAACCTAGCACATTTTTCATTCCCTATTTAACATTGGTGTAGTGACCCTAGCACATTTTTCATTCCCTCTGTAACATTGGTGTAGTGACCCTAGCATATTTCTCATTCCCCGTGTAACATTGGTGTAGTGACCCTAGCACATTTGTCATTCCCTATGTACAGTTGGTGTAGTGAACCTAGCACATTTGTCATTCCATCTGTACAGTTGGTGTATTGATCCTAGCACATTTGTCATTCCCTCTGAACAGTTGGTGTAGTGACCCTAGCACATTTGTCATTCTCTCTGTAACATTGGTGTAGTGACACTAGCACATTTGTCATTCCCCCTGTAACATTGGTGTAGTGACCCTAGCATATTTCTCATTCCCCCTGTAATATTGGTATAATGTCCCTAGCACATTTGTCATTCCATCTGTACAGTTGGTGTATTGATCCTAGCACATTTGTCATTCCCTCTGAACAGTTGGTGTAGTGACCCTAGCACATTTGTCATTCTCTCTGTACAGTTGGTGTATTGACCCTAGCACTTTTGTCATTCCCTCTGTACAGTTGGTGTAGTGTCCCTATACATTTGTCATTCCCTCTGTAACGTCCCTAGCCCATTTGTCATTCACTCTGTGCAGTTGGTGTAGTGAC